AGGGATGGGGTGAAGTTTACATCCCCAGACTCAGGACTAAATCAAAACTCGCTTGCTCTGGTCTAACTTTATTCAAATTTTCTATTTGAGTGGATTGAGGGAATAGGGAAGGTAAACCTAGGGGAAGCATCCCCATCCTAGCGATTGATGTTTCCTACTGGACGATTCCTGCTGGATGATTCAGAAAAGACCAGAGACACTGAAGGTCCTTCCAGCTGACGAAGGAAAGTAGTAACGGTGGCAGAAGGTAGTAAGAAAGAATGAACCACAATTCCCTTGCTAACTCTTGAATGTGGAGTACACTCTCATGAGTTCCAGTCACCACTCAAATAACCATCATTTAGGTAAAGGACTGAATGGTTAATGTCTCCAAAGAATACGATTAAAAGACCTAAGCTGCTTTTGGCCTTACTTGGTGAGCATACACACATTCCACACAGAGAAATGGAAGCATTCAAGGCAATTTCCTCTTCCTAGTAGTATGGGCCAATTGCAAAGCATCTATAATCAGCCTAACTGCAATAACAGACTAGGTTTAAAAGTGTGGAAATGAGGAGACTTTTTTTCTTAAAACTTAGTGATTTATTACAATTTGGTACGTACTCCTTGAAAGGATGGTGGAAAGAAACTGGGGAGGAGGGATAATTAGCAGTTCTGTTAAAGAACCAGCACAGATGTCCTCTGTTTTACCATAACAGAAAGGTTGGTGGCATTTTACAGGTAATATAAAATTATTACAGGTTATTAAAAGGGAGTTTTTTTTAAAAAATGGGTTCTATTTCTTTCCAGTCTCATCAGCTGACGGAACAGCAAATTGAGATATGACCCTACATCCAATGGATATTGGGGCAGCGGTATGCAAAGAGTCACATTAATCTTTCACAGTCCAGGTGAGGCGATGCACTTTGGAAGTAACAGGAGTACTCAATGGACAGCAGGACAATAGGATACTCAGAGGATTCTTGGGGTGTTTGTTACAAATCCTTGATGGTGATAGGGTAGTTAACATAGCATATGGGAGGCTTATCTTTATCAGTTGAGGCATAGATTATAGGAGCAGGGAGGTTATGTTGGATCTGTAGAGGCCAGAGCTGCAGTACTGTCTGCAGTTCTGGTCTCCGCAATATATAAGGTATGCGATTGCACTGGAGGGTACAGAGGAGACTCACCAAGATATTGCCTGGGATGGAGTACTTGAGCTATGGAGAGGCCAGATAAGCTCAGGTTGTTTTCTTTGGAGCAGAGAAGCTTGAGGGGTGACCTGATAGAGGTGTGTAAGACTATGAAGAGCATGGAGAGGATGAATAGAAAGCACTTATCTCACTTTGTTGAAGGGTCAATGACAAAGGGTCATAATTTTAAAGTGAAAGGCAGGGGGTTTAGAGGGGTGTGAGGAAAAAACATTTTCTCCCAGAAAGTGGTGGGGGTCTAGAACACACTCCCTGAGAGGGTATTTGTGGCAAGAAACTTCACAACCTTTAAAATGTACTTAGATGAGCACTTGTTATGTCATAACATTCAGGGCTATCGGCCTAGTGCAAGAAAGTGGGACGTGTATGGATTTAGTGTAGCTTTGGCAGTACAAACATAAGGGACTGAAAGGTCTCTTCTGTACTATATAATTCTACAAGTTCACTTGATCGAATAGAGATCCTTAAGATTATGACAAGGTTTGATAGTCTAGAAATAAAGAAGGTGCTTCCTCTTACAGGAGGTCCAAAACTAAGAGGCCTGAAATGCAATAGTCACTAATAAACCCAATGGGGAATTCAGGAAAACTTTTGAGGTCTGAGTGCTTATAATATGGAATTCCACCACTGCAAGCAGTAATTAGGCAAATGAAATTGATGTATTCAAGTGGAACTGATGTAAATACACAAGATGGGGTAGAGAAGGAACACAGCACTATGCTGATATGTGTTAAAAGGAGGAGGATGGGTTGTGGGGAGCTGAAACTTAAGTATGTGAGAGATTGGCTGAATGGTCTGCCTGATGGCAGTACAATTCACGTACCTCTATGAAATCCTATTTGATAATGTCCATAGAAGGAGCAAACCATTAGTCACCATGACTAATGTGTCATACTCGTACAATGGGCTCAAAAACATTCAACGACAGCCCCTCCTCACTTCCTGGATTCCTGCTAGGGGCTAATTCGCACCCGTTAAAAAACTGGAGTGGAAATGAACAGGTGTCGCAGTAGCACATAGAAACTTCAGATGGACTATTACATTAGTAAATAACACTTAACCTCAGCAGACTACGGGAGAAAACATTTAAGCCATAGTACATTATGCAGGACAAGGTACCCTGTTATACTCTGCACTCTCTCAACAGGGCTGTGGGACAGACAGGATTGGTGGGTTTTAAACTACACTTTATCATTCTATGTTTTATGTTGTTAAACTGAAATCACTGTGCTCAGTAATAAATACAGTATTTAAGCCTGCCACCAACGGAGACAGAAATCTCAAGCAACAACCACTTGTTTATAAATGACCTAAAGAATTCAAGTTTTCACTGGCAAGATCTGATGTTAAAACTGTTTGATGCCCCTTCTGTTTAGGGATAGAGGAACCTCAGAATGGCACTGTGAATATAGAACTGAACTTTAAAATGTAAACCAAGTTGAATTTTGAAGATCGAGATATTGAAATCAACAGAAAGAGTTAGCAAGAGTCAGAAAAAGGTGGACAGAAACCATGAAAAAGAGGAAACAGAACAGGCTAAGGGTGCAATGACCTATTATTCCTGCTCCTATTTTTCATGTAACAGAGAGCAGGACAGAAATCAAGCACGGGAAAAGGAATGGAGAGAAAACAAAGACGGAACTAGAGAACAGGAAGAAAAAGGAGAATGCTTGAGAAAGAAAGGATATGGACAGTGTTAGGACAACATAGCTATATTTGAGGCCTATGTGATATTGAATGGCTTGGACACTTTAAACCAAGGAATGAGATCAATAGTTGACATGGGTATGATTCCAGCTGCTAGTTACAGAAAGACATGACTTTAGAAAAACAGACAAGCAAAGCTTTTAGGGAGATTAAGTACAGGGTTTATTGACTAATTGCTCAAAAAAACTGGCTCTGGAAGAGACAATAGGGATCTTGCTGAACAAACTTTTGCTTTTGCTTCTGCTTCAAAAAACTTCTATCGAGCCAGATAGTCTGAGACCTTCAAAGCTTGCAGTAAAAGCTGCAAGTTTCTCTCTTCCTCTCTTAGTTGAAGTTATTGGGAACCTCAAAATGTCCATATCCTAGTATTTTGACACCCTTACAAAGAGTTTGAGAAGTGAAACTGTGGCAACTTTCCCAATTGTTCGAACCCAGTGGCTTCCCATTCATGCTGAAGCTTGTTTGGAAGACCTTCCATCAGTTTGTAGCAATCAGCAATTTTATTTTATCACAAAGAAATTGAGAGTGTTCATCAAATTCTAGCTTTGGTTTCTCTGTTTCTCAGACCACTGGCCAACAGGGTGTTTCCTGTTTGCCCTTTTAAAAACACCATCTCTGCATAGTTCGTGTGCCCTTTGTGTAGTGAAAGTCTCTCTCTTTGGGATGAAACTGGTAAAGTTCTAATTCGGGATTATAGCTTAGATGTTGAACAGTTTTGCCAGTCATTTTTTAGAAATTACTTTTGTTTTATAATAAAATGATTATATTTGAGTTATTTAAAGAAACCTGGTGAATTGCTTTTCATTCTGGACTGCAGTACCAAAAGGGAAACCTTATCTATTCCCTTCATAATCTTATATGTTTCTACAAGATCTCCCCTCATTCTTCTGAATTCCAGTGAGTGTAATCCCAGCCTACTCAGTCTCTCCTCATAATCCAACCCTCTCAACTCTGGAATCAACCGAGTGAATCTCCTCTGCACCTCAAGACGGGACCACTAGGTTATGTAGGGTGAACACCAGCACAGTTTCTGGTCATTCAGACCAGCAATCTATTATGCAATTTCTATTCAAATAAATACATGTATCACGCTATAAATTGATGGATTCCCATGAGACCGGGATGATTGAATATGCATTGTTCCTGTATAGATTCGTATAAAAGCAGATCAACATAGGCATTTAAGTGTATGGTTCCATAACACAATTTAGATTAAATTTGTATAAAGTAACTACAGATTTTTGTGATGAAGTTAGATTAAACACATATTTTGGATTGGCTGTTTTGAGGCTCATTTATTGGATATAATGGCTGTAGTGTACCAGCTGTTGAGTTAGTAGTTACAATCCAGCATCCATACACCATTCTGCAACATACGTACAGAAATACTTTCTGTATTCATTGCGTACAGATGAATTGCAGCTGCCTGACATTATCTCCTGCTTTGATCATCCTGGCTTAGAAATGTACTAATTATTACAATTTCAGCAGCGAGCAGTATGTGACACAGTGAAATATATGGTTGAAATCTGGACAAGTTTTTGCCGTGAACTAACCATGGTGACTGCAATTCACCCTATGTTGAAGCTAAAGATTAAAACAATTTGCCTCTCAATACTGGAATGAAGCTAAATTACCTCTCAATATAAAACTGGTGCATTTTTAAAACTACGTTTTTAATTTAAGCAATTACAACAAAATCTGAAATAGAGTTCATTTTCTATGTTGGACTCAGCTATCAAATCTTTCCACCACTTGCAAGCAAGCAGTCCGGCAAAATTATAACGCATCAAGGGTACAGATGAGATAATCAGGAATGTTTCATTATAAAGTTGCAGTTTCTGCTCATAAATATTTAATATCATAGAAAAACTCTGATAGAAATGAAAACAGAAACTGCTGGAAATACACAGCTGGTCAGGGAGGGTCTTCAGGCAGATACAGACAGATGGGTTGTGTTGCTAGAAATTTGTGTTTTAAATTTGTATTTTGTTTTATTACTTCAATGGAGTCTACTCAGTATTGGATTAAACTAACATCTGAAATTACATTGTAAATCACAACAGAGTCAGCACCTGAGGTACAAATATGCATGTTCCTTACCTCCATTCTGAGTAATATAACGAACCCATGGCAAAGCCTGGTAGCCACTTTTCTCAATAATCTTCAAGTAACGAACCTAACCAAAAGAAAATAAATTCTTAGAAAAATAGTCAAACACGCTCCTCCTTTTACCTACCATTAGATTTCCTTCATAAGCTTTAGAGTGAAGCCCATGTGCTGACGTTTCAGTAAAATAGAATCGGCCAGTTTTTATAACATAAAAGGAGCACATTATCGTGATGGTAGTAGGGAAAAAGAAATCAGCTTTGGTGTCAAAGAAGCCACAAACTCTCCTCTCCATCCACTCCCTCTCCCTGCAATGATGTTCTAACTTGGGTCAATTAGGAACTGCTTTCACAGCAGGATCAGTAGCTAATTCTTTGAAAAGAAATTGGAATTCTACCTTGGTCCAGAGCTTTGCGTCCATACATGTTGAACAGACTATCCTGTAAATCCATCATATAACTTTGCTGTGTCTGCTATTTAATGTGTAACTTTGTAATATATATTGAACACGATGTCAGTTAAGTCATGTTCAATGCTGATGTTGGCTTGATTGTTACAGCGAAAGTTATAAATATTAAGTTTTGTTCATTGGCTTTTTGTTGGGGGTCATTCATTCAATTTGGTTCTTTCTAATATTGGTCTGCACAGGGATTATAAATTTTAGGAGACTGTCCCATTCTCTGTTCTCTATCATACTTTCACCTGGATGATTTTGCATTTAGCACACTTCTGTCCAGTTCAGTCAGCTTCACAGTTGCCTCTGCAAGCACTGGTCCTTCAATAAACAGATATGCATCAGGTAGAGGCAAGGTATGCACTGCGAAAACTGAAAATGAAAATATGCCAGAAGTATCTGATTGCAGAAGATAGACTAAGAATAGATTTCTCTAGGGTTTATTTTGAGTAGGTTGGGGTGTGCAGCTGGGGCTGGTGGCTAATTTGATCTGCAATATAAATCTCAGCTCCAGATCGAGCTGATGAACCAGAAAGGTGGTTTCTTGAAAGCTCTAAGGAGGTGGTTCTGGTAACTCATTCAACCAACTGAACCACATGATTTCAGGGCAGAGGTCACTTCAGTCTCCACAGGCTTTTTTTTTTTTTTTAAAAGGGCTAACCACATTTATTTTCGTAAACACAGCAAGAGCAAATATATATGTTTAATTTTAGCAAAGATCAGAGAGGCCTTTGATACCCACTTCATCTGAACTGAAGCCTCAGCATTTTAAACTTCTGGTCTGAAAAGAGAGCTTTGTTTTACAGTTTACTAAAGACGTTACAAAATGAGACTTTTTAAAAAGTAAATTATACTGTAATTGGCTATGAAAGAACATATATTTCCAGATAAAAGACTTCTCATATTCAAAGTTCAGACTTGAACGAAGTCCAACCAGTGAGCAATTACTCTATGCCCAATTATAAGTAAGTCTATACCGTCTTTTCAGATTGCTGTTTAACAGGCTTTACATACAGCGCTCTATACCTCAAGAGTGAAAATAAATGAAGGTTCTGAAACATCAAATCAAATTTGTTTGATAAGTTTAGAAATCTGACCTTAAAAAGATAATCTATGAAAGTCCCAACTCTGATCAAATTAGACATGTGGTCTGGTATTTGTGAAAGTAGGAAATGGAAAACAAACACCTGGCTGTCAGTGATGCAGTTTAAAATTATACAAAACTTGTACCTTAATTTACTTTCTTCAGGGACCACCCCCTCCCTCAAACAAACAATCACTTGGTTCCCTTAAGTGAAAGTCTTAGCTAAGTGATTCAAACCCGGACTCCTGAGATATCAGCACATAATCCAGGCTGATTTAGTACACTAGTACTCAAGGTGGTGCCTTTTTGATGTTTAATCCAGTCCTCGCTAGCCTTCCACATGGACAAAGATATAACAACATTAATTTTTGTTATTCATTCATTGGATATGGGAAATGCTGGCTAGGTCAACAATATTGCTTGTCCCTAATGGGCCTTGGGATGATGATAGTGAGCTGCCTTCTTGAACGTAGATATACACTCAGTGCTGTTAGGAAGGGAATTCCAGGTTTTTGACCCAGCAATGAAGGGATGGTGATATAGTTCCAAGGTAGGATGATGTGTAGCTTGGAGGATTACTTGTGGGTGGTGGTGTATCTGCTGCCCATATCTTTCTAGGCGTAAATGTCACAGGGTTGGAAGATGCCGTCTAAAGAGTCTTGCTGAGTTGTTACAGTAAATCATGTGGATGGCAAACACGGCTGTCACTGTGCATTGGTGGTGGAGAGAATGAATGTTGAAGGTGATGGATGTGGTGGCAATCCAGCAGGCTGCTAGTTCCTGGAGTTTGAACTTCTTTGGTGTTGTTGAATTATGCACTCGTCCAGACAAGTTGGGAGTACTCCTGAGTTGTGCCTCAGAGATGGTGGAGAGGCTTTGAGGAGACAGGTGGGAAATTACTTATTGCTGAATGTCCATCCTCCCGTTTCAGGTTTTGTAGTGATGGCTGATCAAGTTCAGCTAAACCAAGTGCTGCAGTGATTATTTCTAGCCTGAAAAGAGATTTGATTTAAAGTTTACCATGGTTGTAGCAAAACAAGCTTTTTAAAAAAGGAAATTATACTGTGATTGGCTTTGAAAGAACTTATTGCTGAATAAAAGACTTGGCCTATCCAGGGTTCAGAGTTGGGTGAAATGCAACCAGTGAGCAATTGCTCTATTCCCAGTGTTTTCAGTTTGCTGCTTTACAAGCTTGACAAATAACAATGAGCAATATCAAAGGATTTTTTTTTTTTTTTTATATAGGGTCATTGGCTGGTAATTGTGTGACACGAATGTCACTTGCCACCTATTAGCACAAGTCTGAATGCCTCCAGGTCTTGCTGCATCCCCATTTCTGACCTTATGATACAGGGAAGATTATTGATGAAGTAATGAAAGATAGTTGAGACTAAGATACCATCCTGAGGAAGTCCTACAGACATGTTCTAGAGCTTAGGTGATTGACCTCCGACAACCACAACCATTTCTTTTGTGCCTGGTATGACTCCAATAAAGTAAAGAGCTTCCCCTCAGTTCTGACCCCAGTTCAGCTGGGACTGCAATGATGCCACACTTGGTCAAATACTGCCTTGCTGTCTTGAGTTCAGCTATTTTTTGTCCATGCTTGAACAAAGGTTGTATTGAGGTCAGGAGCTAGCTCATTAAATGAGTGCTGCTTGATAGCATTGTTGATGCCACTTTCCAGCGATGTGCTGATGCTCAAGAATAGACTGATAGGCCATTAACTGGTCAGGTTGGATTTGCCCTGCTTTTTGTGTCATCCTGGGCAATTTTCCATATTGTTGTAGTTGTACTCAGTTCTGGAGCACAAGTCTCCTGTACTATTACTGAAATGTTTTCAGGGCCCTTTGCCTATCTACTGCCTTCAGTCATTTCTTGTTATTACATGGAGTAAATTGGCTGAAAGCTGGCATCGGAGTCATTCAGGTCCTCAGGAGAATGCAGAGAAAGTGGAGAGATTATCTATTTGGCACATTTGTCTGATGAGTGCACTGATAGATTGGGTCTCCTCCTCAGTGAGCAGTGAAGAGTAGCAGAAGACTTCTCCCATTATCCTGATCAATATTTACTCCTGAAAAGGACATCATTATGAGGGGTTATCTGGTCTTTGTACTGCCTTGCTGTGCTCAAATTTGCTTTTGCATTTATCAACATTGTAACAACAACCACAATTCAAAAGCAGTTCATCTATGAAGGGTTTTAGGAAACCCTGAGCTTTGGAAAGGCACTGCAGAATTTCCAAGATTTCTTTTCTTCCTTCCCTTGTTCATGCATCATTCCACCTTCTCCTACACCCACACAGTCATACAACACGGAAACAGAGCCTTCGGTCCAACCAGTCCCTGCCAACTATAATCCCAAACTAGTCCCACTTGCCTGCACATAGCCCATATCCCTCCAAACGCTTTTTATTCATGTACTTGTCTAAATGCCTTTTAAACATTATCACTGTACCCACATACATCACTTCCTCTTGAAGTTCATTCCATACATGAACCATTGTGTTTTAAAAAAAATTGCCCCTCACAAAATCTTTATCCTCTCACCTTAAAAATATGCCCCATCTTAAAATCCCCAACCCTAGGAGAAAGGCAGCAGCCATTCACCTTATCTATACCCCTCTAAGGTCACCTCTCAACCTCCTATGGTCCAGTAAAAGAAGTCCCAGCCTATCCAGCCTCTCTTTATAACTCAAACCTTCCATTCCCGGCAACATTCTGGTAAATCTCTTCTGAACACTCTCCAGCTTGATAATATCCTTCCTAGAGCAGGGAGGCCAGAACTGGACACAATACTCCAGAAGAGGCCTCACCACTGTCCTGTACAACTTCAACATGACATCCCAATTCCTAGATTCAAAGGTCTGAGAAATGAAAGCAGGCATGCTAAATGCCTTAGCCACCCTATCTATGTGTGATGCAAACTTCAAAGAATTATGTACATGAACCCCTAGGTCTCTGTCCTACAAACACTGCCCCAGACCACCTCCACTCCAAAAAACAACCTACCATCATTCTGTCTCCTGCCGTTAAGCCAATTTTGTATCCAATTGGCAAGCTCACCCCGAAGCCCATGGGATCTAACTTTACTAATTAGTCTACCATGTGGAACCTTGTCAAAGGCTTCACTAAAGTCTAAGTAAACAATGTCTATGTCCTGCCCTTGTCAATCTTCTTGGTTACTGCCTCAAAAAACTCAAGTTAGGTGAGACAATTTCCCTCGCTTAAAACCACGCTGACTGTCCCTAAGCATTCCTTGCCTCTCCAAATGTATATAAGTCCTCTTTCAGAATCACTTCCAGCAATTTACCCACTACCTAAGTCAGCCTCTCAGGTCTATAGTTCCCAGGCTTCTCCTTACATCCCTTCTTAAACCAAGGCACAACATCAGCCACTCTCAAGTCATTCAGCACCTCACCCATATTTAGACGATACAACTATTTCTGCACGGAACCCTGCAATTTCCCCCCTAACTTGTCACAACATCCTGGGATACACTTAAGGTCCTCGAGATTTATCCACCTTTATATTTTCTAAGACTTCCAGCACTTACTCTTACATAATGTGAAATGTTCGAAACATCAATTTTTTTTTTGAGTTCTCTAGACTCCATTTCTTTCTCCACAGCAAAAACTGATGTGAAATATTCTCACACTGTAGACATTGATCTTGGTGCCATTCACGGTGCATTACCAGCCTCCTTCAGCATTGTGAAGTGCCTCTAAGTACCTTCTTATGTGATACCCCTAGTATAAAACTGATGTAATGCACTGGAACGTCAAAAGCTGCTCTGTGATACTGTCTAT